TTTGACGGTACTGTGGGGATGACGTGAGACATTTTTAACAACAGGGACACCAGGCCAGGGGTCCTGGGAACTCCCTGTGCTAACTGCAACTTTCCCACAAACTTAAAACTAAACTAGAAGGTGAACCAGAGCAGGCAGGCCTCACCCAAAGGCATTCAAGTTCAATTTTAAAAAACAAAAAAAATTTAGTTTTTTTTTTTTAAGAAGCTATTTTTTAAGTGTATTTTGGTTAAATGCAAAAGATGAAGTGAACCAGGGTTTCTAATTATTTCTAAGTGGAGAGAAGGAAGGAAGGAAGGAAGGAAGGAAGGAAGGAAGGAAGGAAGGAAGGAAGGAAGGAAGGAAGGAAGATATCCCCAAACGTAAGTGACTGTATAGGCCTTGAGGTTTAAGGAATCTCCAAAATCCCTCCCAACTGAATGCACAAGGATGCCTGGCCACAAATCTCCCTTAAAACATTGATTTCAAAACTATCCCAAAGTGGTTTTAAACACATGTGGGTGATAAACTGTTCTAAAAATACATCAGATCAACACAGAAAAGGGCAAGGCCTTCAGAAAAGATAAAGCAGCTTTTTCACCACAACTTAATCCTCCTTCTTAAAATCAGTTATTTCAAGGAGAGAAAAGGAAGATTCTCCACTTCTACTCCCTGCCCCCACCCTCCAGCCCCAGAAAAGGAACCCAGAGACCAGTTCCCAATATTCAGAATATTTGCATCACTGAAATCACCCCAGGGGAAGAGGGATTCCTTCAGGAAAAAAAAAAAATGTAGGGGGGCAGGGGCAAAGGGCGCTCCTGCAAATTGTCAGGATGCCTAAGAAGACAGTTCCATTTATACCCAATAATGTGAACAGAAGCGAAACCTGATTATAAAAACTCTAAGGGGGATCCCTGGGTGGCGCAGAGGTTTGGCGCCTGCCTTTGGCCCAGGGCGCGATCGAGTCCCACATCGGGCTCCTGGTGCACGGAGCCTGCTTCTCCCTCTGCCTGTGTCTCTGCCTCTCTCTCTCTCTCTCTCTCTGTGACTATCATAAATAAATAAAAATTTAAAAAAATGAAAAAAAAACTCTAAGGAACTATCTGGCTTGTACACGTATTAAATCGAATATTGCTCAAAATTCTTAAACTAAGGGCCACTAGCTAGCAATCTTGAAAATACAAGGATACTGTGACGCTGTTTTTGTTGTAATGGAATTTAACCTGCCCACGGTTCTGAAAAATGTCCCAGGCAAATGAATGGTGCTTTCTAAACTCTAAATTAGTATGAGGAAGAATTTAGACAAACAAGGAAAATGGGATCTCCAGCCTTCTTCAGGAAAGGAAGTGAGAAAACTGTACTAGAGGGCTTAGGCTATTTGACCTCCATCAAATGCAAGTCCAAGCTACCTCAGTAAAAGCACAGAAGCTCATCGGAAATCTCAGAGAAATTATTTTCAAATGCCATGTTCTCTGAATTGTGTCTGTTTACACGGGCTGACATGCCCCACAAATCAAAGATAAAGTTACCACCATCCGAAAGCCAAGTTCGAATATGGTGCAAGTACCAATTACAGTGATTTGCGGGATGGAAAATCCTTCTACTGGGGAGGTGGGCTGCTCCCCGGAATCAGAGGCCGACTTCCCTCTGGATTCCTGGTGAAACCACATCCGCAAGTTTCCACAAGAATGATGAGTTTTGATGAAGCGACACAATGGGAACATCAGCAGGACTGCGTCGGGATGCAAAATTGTATGTGCCCTGATTACAGCTTCAGAAATAAACAGGCACCACGATAAAAGGCCAAGCCGCCGAACAAGGAAAACTGATGCTAACTCTTTGGTTCACAGGCTGAGATTACGCCCAATCTTCTTCATCTTCCACGCTTTCTGTGATAGTGTTATTTTTTTTATATATAACTTTCAAAAATATCAATGCATCGCCTACAAATAACCCCCTGGACTCAAGATTAAGGCAAGTCAATGCCAAGCTCTTAAATTTACCCCAGGAACGCTGTCAATTCTAAAGTTCCATGACCTAAGTAACTGATCTTCTCTATCCTTCTCTCTCTCAACTTAACACCCATAAGGAAGAAAGTGATAAAGGAGGGAGTGCTTCAAGTTTTTAGGATCTCGGCGAATGAACTTCCTACCTCAAACTCTCAATGATTCCTTTCTTCTTTTTTTTTTAAGATTTATTTTTAAGTAATCTGTCCCCCCCAACACGGAACTCGAACTCACAACCCTGAGGTCCCGAGTTGCACACTGTTATCGACTGAGCCAGCCAGGCACTCCTCTGTCGGTGTCTTAACTAAAGCCTGTGAAACTACACACAGTTCTACTGAAGTCATGTGCACCCGAGGGACAACCATATTAGCCAAGGAAGTGTTGCCAAAGCGGCCCAAAATACCAACAGGGGTTGAAACAGTAAGAAGAAATTGCAGGGACCTAGGAAAGCACCACTCTGAGCACAAATAACAATTTTAAGGTTAAGAAAAGTTCAGAACAGACCAGGGCAGGCAAAGTGGGCACCGAAGACATCATCAACATGTCTGTACTAGCGACAGGCAGAGTTAAGGAGGTCGGTCTACCTGATGAGATGGACCACCTCTCCCACTGGGCTATTGTCATTGCAGTAAAAGCAAAAAGAAATACAGGACAGGTTGTATGTGGTGCCAAGGCTCTAGGACTTCCTCTTATGAGCCTTCTTTCTTTCACCATCACTGTAGCTCTGGGTTAATTCATCTTTGGTGTGGGATGCCTGGGTGGCTCAGTGGTTGAGCGCCTGCCTTCGGCCCAGGGCATGATCCTGGGGGTTGTGGGATCAAGTCCCACATCAGGATCCCTGCATTGAGGAGCCTGCTTCTCTCTCTGCCTCTCTCTCTCTCTCTCTCTCTCTGTGCCTCTCATGAATAAATAAATAAAATATTTTTTAAAAAAACTTCATCTTTAAAAAAAAAAAAAAATTCATCTTTGGTGAGAGAATTTTAAGTTCCAGATGGGCACTAGCCCCTTCTTAGAGTGGTATCATACACGGCTCCATTCAGTAGGGGTGGTTAACAGCAAGAGTATGTACTGCTTATCTCTCTGAAAATTAACTTAGGTTGGGTTGGAAATGCCTTCTGGCTCCTCCCTCCAGTGGTTCCCCTTTTATGGTCCAACCCTCGTCTTGTCTGTGCCTCCTCTGAAGCTTTGCCCAGACCCTTCTGTGCCTCTGGAATGCTGCTCCCCATATCCCCCTGCCCCTTCTGCCACAGAAGCACAGGCCTCAGCTTTGCTACTAAACCCACTGTGACTATCCTGGCTCCTTGCTCACACCTCCCTCCTTCCCACTCCCCTCAAGATCCTTCCAGGTATTAGAAAGCACTGACTTTCTCACCTGCATGTGTCTCCATTTTCCACCCACAGTGTAGACCCCTCAGGGCCAGGAGCCATTTCTCCTGTGTCTTTTAAAGGGCAAGGGTAGCACTTTGTTCCCCCACAGCCAGCGCATAAAAGGGACCGAAGGAGCAGAGGGAGGTCCACTCACCGAATTATCTAGTATTTTAGATATCTAAGAAATTGATCCTTTGTTTCAGATCAATCACCCAAGTCACTTAATCCACAAAAACATGACAGGGATACTTTTCCAAACGTGAATGAAAGCACCTATTCTTAATGCCTTGACGTAACAGGAAAGAGGGAAGATGGGCCTCCTCCATACTAGGTATTTCTTAGAGAGGCTGGTGCACATTCAGATCCCAGACAAAGGCCGGCTTAGAGTTAAGCCAAGTGCGGCATAGGGTGTTTCCATGCCAGGTAGAACCAGTCACCTGCTCTCTGGATTCTGATCCAACTATGATAAAACCAAACACAGTGGTGGAGTCCCAGATACCAGCTCATGCCTCCCTTTACAATGGCAGCCAGGTTCGTCCTATTTTAAAAGAAGTACCCTGAAAAGGCTGGGGGTGGGGGTAGGAAGGTAAGCGAGGTAGTCAAGCATATACCAACACAAGCCATGTCTTTCCTTACAAGGGCCCCAGGGGAACTGCAGGGCTAACCGGCGGTCCAGGCAGCCCCTGAACCAGCACCAGGCTACCAGGCTACCAGGCCAACCGGAGGGATTTACCCCTCTTGGGAAGCCGGGTGGGAGTCTAACCTGATGGGTTAGGAAGGGGAGGCCGGTGGCTTCCAGAAACTAGGTTTCCCTTAACACCAAATGTCAGTCCGAAAAGTAATGACATCCGCCCCATGAATCAGAAGCACAAAAGTGACCAGAAAACCAGTGAAGGTCCAACTGGCCTGATGCCTGGAATGTACCGCCCTTTCCAGAATATGCCCATTTCCCCATCTCCTGACCTTGACCAGGAGGTGCGGACACAACACCAACCCCACTGCCCAGGTCTGACCTGCAGAGCAGAGGGGAGCAGCTCACCTGCCAGGCCTGGCGGGGAGGGGTGATGCCCACCTCTGCCACGGGTTCCCCAGCCCCCAGCCCGTGCCGCCAGCACCCAGCCGGCACCGCACCGGCAGTGGGCGGGCCTGGGCCACCCCTGCACTCACCCCGGGGCCCCTGAACCCGCGGGGAGGCGGGCTGGCCGGGGCCACGGCTGCCTTCGCGCTCGGTCCGGCTCCCCCCGGGGGCTCCCGAGGCGCCCGCGCGCCCGCAAAGGCACCGGCTCAGGATGGCGGGGGCGGCCCTTAGAAGCCGACTGTCTGAGGCCGGCGACCGGGAACTCTCCGGGACGATCCCAGCGCGGGCGACCGGCCCACTCGGGGGCGCAGGGCGGGAACCCAGCCCGTCTCGCGGTCGGGAAAGCCGGCGCCGGCGGGCCCCGCGCCCAACAGCTCGGCCAGACCCCTGCGCCCTCCAGCCCGCCTCGACCCCCGGGGCCCGCGGGGTCCCCGCCGCCGCCCGCGCGATGCCCCGGGTCTCCCGGCGGCGGCTGCTCCCGAGCCCGGGGCCAGGGCTCACGCCGCCGAGCCCGGCCCCCGCCCGCGCCCCCGCGCCCCCGCCCGCGCCCGCGCCCGCGCTGCACTCACCGCCGCCCGCGCCGCCAGTCGAGCCGGGAGGTCTGAGCGCGCGGTGCAGCCGAGCTGCGGGGCCGGCCGGGGGGCGGGGCCGGGCCGGGGCGGGCCGAGCAGGGGGCGGGGCGATCTCTGGCTGTGGGCGGGGCCTGCCGAGCAGGGGGCGGGGCTATCCCTGACTGGGGGGCGGGGCATGCTGAGCAGGGGCGGGGCGATCCCTGGCTGGGGGCGGGGCCGGCCGAGCAGGGGGCGGGGCGAGCAGGGGCCGAGCCGAGCTGAGCCGGGGCCGGCGGCGGGGCAGCTCCGGCTCCCGCCTCTCCCCGCTCCTCGCCCACCCAGCGCAGCCTGGCGGGGTCCCTGCCCGAGGTTGCCCACCCTCCGGGTTCTGCCCCTCCGCCCCTCGGGACACCCCGCAGAGTACACCCCGACCCGGCTCACTCCCGGGGCGCCCCCGCTGACCTCGGAGCCCCCCATCGTCCCGTCCTGGGTCGCCCCTTGGGGATTCCGCTCCTGCAAGTCGATCCCCTCCCCTCCGCGTCCTGATTCCCGCCTCCAGCTCTCCCCGCTCCCCTAGGCCCCCCATCTCTGGCATTCCTTCCTCCTCCCCACCCTCAGGCAGCGGGGGCCCATCAGCCTCCAGTCCCAGGTCCAAGGTTCCCTGCCCTCCGTAGGGCGGCCTTTCTCCAGGCCTCGGTTTCCTGTGTATAAAATGGGCATAACAGTACCTGTCTCATAAAGTCTAAGAATGCACCGAGAAGGGTGTAGCACAGATTAGGTCTTAAATAAAACCAATCTGCTGTGCTACTACTTCCTAGGCCCCCAGGGTGGTCCACCACCCCTAGGTACTTTCTCCCTGGCTAAAAGCTCTGGAAGTCTGTATCTGATCCTCTGCCCCTAAATGGGTGTTGCCTGCCTATCTGATCAGAGCCCCGTCTGCCTGCTAGAGTATTAACAGCAGCCCTGATCCAGCAGGGGACTCTGAGAAGTCCTCACCAGGCATTAAGGAGCCTGTGTGGCTTTCGGAGTACAAAGTCCTGGAGATGCAAGGAACCCTAATATGGCCATCTAGAGAAATGCCACTTGGGTGAAGAGCCTATGAGCCACTCGATTGGGATTCATAGACCTGGATCCTACTGGACCATCCTCCAGTGATAGAATCCAGCTGCCTTTACAGTGAGACCCAGACAGGGAGAGTGAATTGCCCAAAGTCCCACAGCAAACTGTCCCCTCCGTCCTTGTCCAAAGCTCTCACCACCTTTCACCAGGTGCACCCAGCCATTATCAGCTGTGGACATATTAGTCAATTGGAAGAGGGGATTTCAAAGTCCTCCCAACCATGATAAATTGCCAGGCAGGTGTTATTAGTGAGGCAAATCTTTTATTTTAAAACTATAGAGGAAGCTGAGTTATGCCCAACCTCTGCCATTCTCCATTCTCAGTGTGGGCAAGAAGACCTGTTGTCCTGACATGAAGCCAGAGTATCACAGGCTGCCACTAGCAAAACAAAAGCCTTAGAGAAACTCAGAGCAAAATGTTTTAAGAAATGGCCCTGTGTGAATGCTCCCCCTCCCTTCCTATCCTTCCTTCCTTCCCTCCTTCCTGCCTTCCCCTTCCCCTTTCTTTCCTTCTTCCTTTCTGCAGGGGAAAAGTAATTGCACAACTGAATTTACTGCTGTCTTTTTCTCAATGTTACTTCCTTTTTCTCCTCGCAACTGCTAAGCACAACTGAGGCTGGCTTTGCTTTTTTCATATATCCTAAACACTTAAGTGCGCCTGTGAGTTTTTGATTATTTATGGGGAGAGCTGTAAAGCTGTGACTCTTTTTTTAATCCCTGAGAAACCACAGAGATTGAATTTCCAGCCCAGTGCTTCAGAGAAGGGGAGGAAAATGAACCAGGCACACGATCATCTCACTAGATGCTAAAAAAGCATTTGGCAAAATCCAACACCTTTTCATGAGAAAAACACTCAACAAAGTAAGAATAGAAGGAAACTTTCCACAAGCTGATAAAGAGCGTCTACTGCTAACATCCTCCTTGGTGACAGACTGGAGACGTTCCCCCCTACCCGCCTCCTGAGGTCAAGAACAAGTAAGAATGTCTGTTTTTGCCACTTCTATCCAACATTGTACCAGAAGTTCTAGCCAGGACAATTCCACGTGAAAAAAAATCAATAGCATCCAGATTGGAAAGGAAGAAGTAAAACAGTCTCAGCTCACAGACAATATGATTTTATGTAGAGAAAATCTTAAGGAATCCGCAACAACAACACCTATCAGTGCTAATAAACAAGTTCAGCAAGGTGGCCAGATTATTAGATCAACATACAAAAATCAGTTGCATTTCTAAACACTAGCGAGGAATGACACAAAAATAAAATTCAGAAAACAATTTAAGGAACTTTGACTTGTACATTGAAAACTACAAAATATTGCTGAAGAAATTAAAGACCTAAATGAATGGAAAGACATTCACCTAGTGTATCAGAGTTCTATTAGAGAAACTGTACTTGAAGGAGAGGATAGATAGATAGATAGATAGATAGATAGATAGATAGATAGATGATAGGTTGGATGGATAGATGGAAAGATAGGTAGATAGATGATAGAGTAGATAGGATGGATAGGTAGGAAGTAGACAGGATAGGATGGGGGAGGGAGAGAGATAGAAAGAGAGAAAGAGAGAGAGATGAAGCTCTCAGGCAGGAGCAGAAGCAGAAGCTCTGGCCCATAGGTATAATTCTTCCTCTGGGAAATATCAGTTTTGCTCTTAAAGCCTTTTAACTGATTGGATGAGGCCCAAATTACCCAAATACTCTCCTTTGCTTAAAGTCAACTTGTAGAAGTTAACCCCATCTAAAAAAAAAAAATCTTCAAAGCAACACCTAGATTAGTGTTTACTTGAATTACCGGCTACTATAGCCTAGCCAAGTTGATGCGTAAAACTAACCATCACAGATGTGGCTCCCCAAACTGATGTACAGATTAATATGATCTCTACCAAAATCCCGACTGCCTTATTGGCAGAAACAGAGAAACAAATGTCCCACTCTGGTGGGGAATGTTGATAACAGAAGAGGCTGTACATGCCAGGGTTGGGGGGGCACAAGGGGTATGGGAAATCTCTGTACCTTCCTCTCAATTCTTCTGTGAACTTAAAACAGCTTCTTCTTTTTTTTCTTAAGATGTATTTATTTAGGGATCTCTGGGTGGCTCAGAGGTTTAGTGCCTGCCTACGGCCCAAGGCGTGATCCTGGAGTCCCGGGATCGAGTCCCACATCAGGCTCCCTGCGTGGAGCCTGCTTCTCCCTCTGCCTATGTCTCTGTTTCTCTCTCTCTCTCTCTCTCTCTCTCTCTCTCTCTGTATCTCTCATAAATAAATAAATAAATAAATAAATAAATAAATAAATAAATATTTTTTAAAAGGTATTTATTTCTTTGAGAGAAAGAACACAAGCAGGAGGGGCAGAGCAGGGCAGAGGGAGAAGGAGAGAGAATCTCAAACAGACTCCACACTGAGCACAGAGCCCATGTGGGCAGGGCTCGATCTCACAACCATGAGATCACAACCAGAGCCAAAACCAAGAGTCACACACTCAACCGACTGAGCCACCCAGGCATCCCTTAAAACTACTTTTAAAAAATAGTGGGGTTTTTTTTTTGAGATTTTCTATATTTATTCATGAGAAACACAGAAAGGCAGAGACATAGGCAGAGGGAGAAGCAGGCTCCCTGCGGGAAGCCTAATGCAGAACTTGATCCCAGGACCACAGGATCATGACCTGAGCCAAAGACTCCAACATTGAGCCACCCAAGCATCCCTAAACTATAGGTTTTTTAAATAAAATGTTCTGGAGCTGGATGGTGGTGATAGTTGTACAACATTGTGAATATACTTAATGCCACTGAACTGTACACTTAAAAATGGTTAAAGTGGGGAGTGCCTGGGTGGCTTAGTCAGTTAGGTGTCTGCTTTCGGCTTGGGTCCTGGGAGCAAGCCCCACATTAGGCTCTTTGCTCAGTGGGGAGTCTGCTTCTCCCTCTGCCTCTGACCCTCCTCTCTGCTTGTGCTCTTTCTGTCTCAAATAAATAAATAAAATCTTTAAAAAAAATTTTTTAAAGGTTAAAATGGTAAGTTTTAATGTTATTTATATATTTTCCCATAAGAAATAAAATTCAGTTAAAAATAGGCAGAGGACATGAGGAGATGTTTCTGCAAACAGCCAAGAATCACAGGAAAAAAAAATGGTCCCCATCATTAATCATCAGGCCAATGCAAATCAAAACCACAATGAGATACCACCATGGTGGTCATAGAAAAAAAAATTTTTTTCAATGGAAAATAACTGGTATTGAGACAGACGTGAAGAAACTGAAACTCACACGTTGCTGGTGGCCATGCAAAACGGCACAGCTGCTGCTCCAGAGCTAAATATATACACAAAGTGATTGAAAACAGGTATTCAAACAAAAATGTACAGAGGAGCGTTCATAGTGGCAATACTCACACCAGTCAAAAGTGGAAATGACCCAAATGTCCATCAACTGATAAATGGGTAAACAAAATGTTGTGTATCCATATGATGGAATATCATTTGGGCATAAAACAGAAAGAAGTACTGGCATGTGCTACCATGTAGATTGAAAATATTGTGCTTGAAAACATTAAGCTCATTGAAAGAAGCTGAACACAAAAGGCGTCCCATTGTCATATGATTCCATTTGTATGAAATTTCGAGAATAGACAAATCTACGGAGATAGAAGGCTGACCAGTGGTGACCCTGGGGCCACGAGGAGCTGTGAGTGACTCCTAATGGGTATGAGGTTTCTTTCTGGCTGTGCTACAAATGTTCTGGAAGTTGCTCATGGGGATGGTTGCACAATATTTTGAATGTACTAAATGCCATGGAATTGTAGGGAGCAAAATAGTGAAATGTTAAATTTTATATTATGTGAATTTTATCCCAATTAAAAAAAAAAAAGAGTAAGGGCACCTGGTTGGCTCAGTGATTGAGCATCTGCCCTTGGCTCAGGACATGATCCCGGGGTCCTGGGATCAAGTCCCACATCAGGCTCCCTGCACGGA